TTCTTATAGTTTAGTAGTAATCGGAAAGTTTACCGTTTTGTTTCTGTGGCTTATTGGGGAACAAACCTAAACCCTAAACCTCCCAAACCTATTCCCTGAACCCTAAACCCCCAAACCTAAACCCTAAACCCCAAACCCCCAAACCTAAACCCTGAACCCGCAGACTTGAGCAGAAGTGTAAGCCGCCCTCATCCGCAATCCTCACCTGAGCCCTTCTGAGCCTGTAAGACCCCAGGCCAGCCCGGCAGGCCCTTTTAGGGTCTATTAAGCTTTAGGGTTTATTAGGCTTTAGGGTTTAGGCTTTAGGGTTTGGGGTTCAGGTATTAGGCTTTAGGGTTTATTAGGCTTTAGGGTTTAGGCTTTAGGGTTTAGGGTTCAGGTCTTGGGCTTTAGGGTTTAGGTCTTAGGGCTTAGGGTTCAGGGTCTATAGGCTTTAGGGTTTGGGTTTAGGGTTTATGGTTTGGGGTCAGGGTTTGGATTTAGGCTTCAGGGCTTTGGGTTTAGGGTTTGTGTTGAGGCTGGAGCGACGCCACTGCCGCAATGGCATTAGGCTGAATCGTGCAGGTGTGGACCATGCCAAATAAGGGTCTAAATACGTACCAAAACCAATGTTGTTCCTTAGCGTTCCATTATTATATGTCTACTAGGAGGTACCCCAAAACGCATTCTGATTATCAAGGGCCCTACAGTAGTCTCCTTCGACATGGGTATTTAGTGCAAAGCTTGCATCGCACTGCGCTGTCGTGTACGGCTCGCGAATTCCAGAGCTTGGGGTGCTCCGAGTGTATCGGCCTTAAATGAAGGTAAACGCAGAAATTCAGTTGTGCTTGAATCCCGAAGGTTTAGGGTTTAGGGTTAATTACCACAGACACCGGAAGCCGTTCGGGCTCCAATGTTGAGGCTATTGCTGAAGGCATCGACTAGACGGGCTGCTTTACGAAGCAGGCAGCCCTTGTCGATGTTGCAGACGTAAGCCCGCAACATCGAGAACTGAAGCGATCCTTGGCGATAGAAACCCTAACCCTCCAGGTACCTACTATAGAGGGTACTAGAGCCCCTAGGGCCCTATACAGTAGGTACCTGGAGGGTTAGGGGAAAGCTCGAGCAAGTCAGGCGCTTCTAGCCCAGGTTTATCTGACGTTCTCGCCCTTTGACACGCGAAATTCTCGGCTTTGGAGCCTTGGCCAGGCTTAGAAATTCCCCACGATGTGTGTCAACATACACAACCGAGCCAGAGACCAGGACAGCATGAACTGTGGCAGCATCGCGTGCACCATTGGGAGTACTTCAGGACAAAACCCCGAAACTCTAAATACCCCTTATATAACCCTATATTCAAGCACCTAAACCCTAAACCGTACCCCAAAACCCGGTTTAGGGTCTATAGGGTTTGGGGTTCAGGGGTTAGCATTTCCGATGGTTTGAGGTTTCAGGTCCCTCGTCCCAAATCCTGAATTAAAGCAACCCTAGAAACCACCAAAACCGATTACTTTTTGGTATATGCCTTGAATCATATGTCGGATCGTACTATAGTCTGCCTTACTGAAGGAATGCTGGCAGAATCCTGAAAACCGGGACCCTAAAAACAACAAGCCCTCATATGATATACAAGCCTAGATAATTATCTACATTAATTTGTTAGGGTTCCTTATTATACTTATACTGTAAGGCCCAAACTTTAAACCATGTTCGGATTGTTCGAATTATTGTAGACCTCCACATTAAGCCCTTATAGTAGCCATTTTAGAAACCCTTACAGACCCCTTTCAGGGGAAGCCTTAAAGGAAGCCTCTTCTCATGATTAAGTCCCCTACATGAAACACGCTGCAGGTGGGTGACCTCGTGAAGGTTCGTGGCGATGCTTGGCAGAGGCGCGCGGGTTTCGGGTTTAGGATTCAGGGTTGTTTAGTTTTTCGAGTTCGTTACTGCGATCTGGGCACCAGGCATGACTTGGGTGTAGGTTGTATAGACTTTAGGCCTACTGCTTCAGGGTTTAGGGCATTTGAGTTTTGGGGTTTTGGGCTTTAGGGACCCGGCCCAATCCTTACAATGTGTGCAAAGGGTTTTGGCCAGTGTGTGCCTGCGCCTCACGGAACCTACTTGGTACCGCTATAATTACGAAGCCCCAAAAGATGCAAGATACGGAGTCACGCAGATATTACGGATGTTGTTGGATGTATAGTGCTGCTCAGGAGTATTGTGGCCAACGCTGTTGGGGCTTCATGTATCCCTAAGGGTCCAAGTGCCCAACAATCATGTACTCTCCCAAATAGTAACCCACATAGCTACTATCCGAAAGCCAAGTACCTGATCGTTGGGTCCTTGGACCCTGAAAAAAATTGTTTAAATCACACCGGTAAGGACACTTTTTTTACTATAGATCCCTAGTGTGGTAACTTAAACTAAATTCCTGATCAAGAACCCAGTCCTTGGTTTACCTCCCCCCCCTCCCCCCCTCACTGGAAACTATTGTCAATTGTTGCGGTTACATGGAGGTCCACTATAGACGCGTGTCTGTTTGCGGTTGATCCGAGCTTGGGGGGGGGGGGGTCCATGGTAAGTTTCAGGGTACCAGGTGTGGTCCCAGAAGCACAGCTCTACTTCTACTCTACGAAGTTGCTAACTCGACTCAAAGACTTGCAAGCCCATGGCTACATCTACCCATGAACCGGAAGTATAGACAGCCCTATCCTACATACACCCTGCATGACTCATACGAGTCCTAGCGACGCATATCCCGGTTTTGTTGTGATTGCACATGCAGTTTACTCCTGTTGGCCTTGAGTTACACTATTAAGCGCCATGTATAAAGCATCGGGTCTACGGTTTTCGGGTTTATGGGCAGGAAGCAGTTAAAGCAAGCTTCACAAAGCTTGTTCGAGCGGGCAGGCAGAAACAGCAGGCGCAGATTCTCCAGCAACAGCAGGACTCTTTTTGGTTCGTCGGCATCGGGTGTGTTGAAAACTACCCTGTTGAGACCTGGGCCGTCCAAACTTTCCGAATTAAGGCATGTCCCGTTAGTGTACGCAACGTCAGGGTCTATGTATGTATATATTTTTATTTCTTTACCTACTTGTTCATATTTGTACTTGTATGTCCTCTCTGCTGAGTTAGAGGGCTTGGTTTTGATGTGCAATGTACGCCAGTAGCCGGAACGTGTACGACACTCAGCCTTGGCAGACTCTCCAAGAAATTTCCGTAGAGATGCTCCTAAACCCAAACCCCACCCAAACCCTAAACCCAAACCCCTCAGCCGAAGGAGCACCAAAAACGCCTAAACCCGAGTCTCCGAAGCCGAAGCCCAAAAAGTATTCATCCCACTTTAAACAACGGTTTGGGGTTTAGGGTTTAAGGTTTAGGGTTTAAGGTTTAAGGTTTAGGGTTTAGGGTTTAGGGTTTTGGGTGAGGCCATCCCCTGGAAAGTCCTTCTGATAAGTATACTTTCATTAAATACCCTAAACCCTAACCTCGAAACCTCGAATTTTCTAGCCACTCCAACAGGGTCTAGGGCTTAGGGTTCAAGGGCTCGCGTTGTATGGCTTTCGTGCCCGAAGACCATACTACATACGGCTGTTGGACAATGCGAAGCTTAGGGGGCTAAACTTCCAAACCCTAAACAGTTTGAGCTTAAGCCTGAAGCGCAACCCTAAGGGTCCAAGTAGTCCTTATTTATGGTTTTAGGTACCCTAAAAGGCCCCAAAGTCCTTAAATAATGGGCACTTGGACCCTTAGGGCACGAGGTCCCTCCATAAACAAGCGCTGTCGAGTCTTACGAGCAATCCTTAAGGGTTTAAGTACCTGAAAACCATATACCCCCCCCCCCTCCGGAAGAGAAACATACATAGCTACTATCCAAGACCCAAGTACCTAGATAATGTGTCCTTTGAACCCTTACAGACGCACTCAAAACCCCTTCAAGAGGTTAAAACCATTTACAGAGCCCTTATAGAGCAGCTTACAACCACTATAAATCGCCATTTTCGAAAACTATACATGCCTGATAGAGACCCTACAGAGTCCTCAAAACACCCCTCTTGGGCCCTCGTGGACCCTGACGCGAAGCCCCGACGCATTCTAAACCCTAAACCCTAAACCCTAAACCCTACACCCTAAACCCTAAACCCTAAACCCTAAACCCTAAACCCTAAACCCCAAACGCATTCGCCGGCCGAGTGTCAGTTCGCGCCAGGAGCGCGCCGAAAAGCAGCAGCAGAGAGCCGAAGAGCGGCAGAGGCGGCCCTTAAAAAAAGGCATCCTCC